TAAAAATGAAATTTTTTTTAATTTTTTTTTTTTTTTTTGCCTTTTGTGGGACGTGGTCGGGGTCGGGCACCGCGCCTTGCCCCGCCCCACCAACCTATTCGGGGCAGGGCCCTATCGGGTCGAGACGTGAAGGATTTTTTTGCCATCATTAGTTGTTGCCGCCACTAGAATTCTTTAGTGATTGAATGCTCTTGATTAATGTTTATTAAAATTTACATATAGATGCAATGGGTTGACTTAATTGGGTATGATTGTTTTGAGCTTGAAAAGGGTAAATTAATTAATTGAGAAGAACTCGATCGGGTAGACGTTGTCAATTATTATAAAATTTGGTGATTGAGATTAAAAAAATAGTTATGGTAAACTTAATTCCTAACATTTAAACCATCATATAAAAAATTAACATACGCACTTCTTCATTGTTTTAGTACATTAAAATAAACAATCACAAAAAGAAAAGAAACATATTTAATAGTCCTCAATCGAATTGAAATAAGGAATAATTGAAACAGTAATTCTCGAGGGAATGATAATTCGACCTCTTAAATCCACTTCATTATTTATTACTATTTGTACAACAGCGAAGTATAAAATCAATAGCAGCACTACAGGCCATTCAGGGACGGATTTTTATTTATTTTTTTTTTTTGGGGGGGGGGGGGTTGGAGGGGGGGGGGCTGGGCTGTAGTCCCCCGCCCCCACTCAAGCCCAACAATTTCCCATCTTGATTGGGTTTGACAAAAAGTTTTTTTTTTTTTTTTTTTTTAATATAATGAGAAACCAATTTTTCATGTGTAAATTTATTTATTTATTTTTTTCATGTATTAGCTCAATTTAAATTTTTTTAGCCCGATATTGGATTTAATCCTGAATCCGTCCCTAAGGCCATTGTACACTGCTTTGCATGGTAGCATCGTTAATTGTCGTCGTGCCCCCCCACAAGAGAGAGAGAGAGAGAATTGCTTTCTTGCGACATGTGGAATCTATGGGGTATAGAAAGGAGATGAGCATGGACGAGGGGGGAGGATGTGGACTGTATGTTGGAATTGGCTGAGGCTTTGTTGGTTAGGGATGACGGAGAGGCAACCTTCGGCCAACGAACTCGGATTGATTCAAGGAGGGCTGTGGCGAGTTATTGTAGGCCTGCCGCTGGGCTTTCAAAATTGCACGCGGAATATAGGCAGAGAAGGAGATTGTCGGGTGTGGAGTGGAAATTAGGTCCTGGAAGATGCCGAATGGGTTATTGTTTGCACGAAGCTTGGGCATGCAAATAAGCAGAGTGAAGCGTGATTCCTTAACGATAGTTAAACAACGCCCCCGTTTCAGCCCCATTATTCTCAAAACACATTTTTTCAAAATTCATTTTCGATTACACATTCTCCCATAAAACAATTTTACATGTGAACCCAAATTTTTTTCATATTTTCTAACCATGGGTTCTCTAAAAAATCACTATTCCAAAATACATTATCACCCAAAAAAGGGGGACTCAAACAAGGGACGTTAGACCAGAGACTCTTATCTTGTGCTGGTCCAATATGTATAGACATTATAGGTTTTCATGATATAGGATGTGCCTCTTGTCACTTTATTCCACAAGCTAGAAACAATGTAGTCCACAACCATCTGCCACTGCTGTCCCAACTATGCAATTGTTGATTGTATTTCCTCTTTAGGTTGCACCGTTGTTCACTTAGATTGTTAATTTTATGCAGTTGATATATTCAACTCGTTTCAACATCTTTAGGACCTCTCTTATATTCTTATCTTGTTTTTGAGACCACCAGGAAGAACCGTCTGCCATAGCTCCCGCATTCATTATGAATGATTCACAAAATAAATATATCAACTCCCTCACAACTCTAAAACTTCAAAAAACTTCACAGTTTTTTCTTTCCTATTGCATACCCAAGTTATCAAGACAGCAAAACTGGTAGTCGAAGTGGACACAACTGATCAGCCGGTTTGATCCGAAAGAAGTTAAAATTAGATTAAAATTTTCTGGGTTCTCTTTATTCTAGGTTTTGGAACAGTTAACCCAAGAACCTGGCTAGTATCCAATAAGGTATCATACAGAAATATAAGATTACTTCGATCGCATGTCTCCCATTTAATACTACCTTCTTACTTAACATGCAATAAAGAGAAATGTGTGCGCATGCCTCGAGGATGAACAACTTCTACCACAAGCAAGTCTAAACTGGAAACAGAGACTTAAGAGAGGATATATCTTTCCAGAAAGAAATAATGAACCCTGTGTTGCATACTTAAACTGCTATGTACATGTTGCAAAGCTGAATGTCAAAAAAGCGCAAAAGTTCAAGTCCTCTCATACCACCACCAGCATATAGCAACAAAACCACATAATGAAAACGACACAGGTACAATTTATTTTATTTATTTATATATTTATTTTTTGTAATTGGATTTAAAATCCATTGGCTGGCCGCGTTGATTCCTCAATTTCAATGTCTTTAACCCCATCAGTCAAAGAAGAAGATGAATCGCACCTTTTGTCCTCAGCCCAGTCCTCAAGCTCATCTTCAACGAAAGAGCCCTTTCTACGATGTTCTTTAACTTGACGAAACTCGTCATAATGAGCCGTACGGTGCTCCCTGAAGCTCCTTTGCCTCTCGGAATTAGAATCTGATAGAACTGCATTTAATGAGTTGAATTCTGGTGATCACCCCAGTTAACAAACCAACAAAAATCACATATATTTACAGTTTAAAAGATGAGGTGGAGGGACTAGCATGTTTGGCCCAAAAGGAGAAATTACTTTTAAGTTCAAAAAGTTGCTTATTTTGAAAGTAACTCTTATTTTACTGTAAAAAATATTTCCAACTTTGACCCATAAAAAATAATTCCTTTCAAAACTTAGTATACTTTTTAAGCTTAGCCAAACATGCTTGGTATAAGGTTCACATATCATTTTATTTGTTATTTTCTGAATTCATACAAAAAAATCTTGAGAGCACGTGATGCAATAAAACATGAATAACTATACAAAAACCCTTCAACAAGCATAACCTTTAAAACATCAAACAATTCATTTGATCAAACAAAGACACAGGTGAACCTGATAAAATCATGACAATTAAGTTATGTGAAAAGTAATAATATGCACTCCAGGCAAGATTTCTGCATATTTAAAACTAGTGCAAATGTGATAAGATACAACCTTCTTCTTGATCCATTGCATCCTCTTCTTCGGATGATGTCCAGCCTGAGGAACGAGGGTTATTTTTGCTTGAGGAAGCCACATCATTCAATGCCGAACGTATAGCATCTGCATGCGTTGAATCTCCAAAGCTGTCCCCAAAACTTACCCTAATAGGAGATAATGAGCCTACATTCATCAACTTTCGAAATTCAGGACAAAGAATAAGATTTGTGAAAAATGGAGCTGTAGAAGTAGTTCCCTTGCATGACATTTTCTTTAAATTGGACCTCAAACAGCAAGGCTAACAAGTGGATTTTCACCCCATCAACTAGTGAAAGGACCAATCAAGAAGTAAAACAGAGAACCATTATTATCAACTCAATAAATGTCAATACTCAATACCATAATCGTAAGAAACTTATTGGGGGATGCAACATTCCCTCATTTCATCCACCAAAAGTACCTTGCTATGGCATGGCTGCATAATCCTAAGCAACATTCATCACCTCGTGTCTGTGAGAATTGGTGCTAGGTAGTCAACAAGAAAACACATATCTAAATTTAAGTACAGTGCAAGGATATCTACCCCCAAATCAAAGAGTCATCATAAATACAGTTAAGGCATAACAGACACCTCCCCCCACCACCCCCCAAAACAAACAAACAAAACAGGAAAAAACCACCACATACTAAAGAAGAAAACAGAAAGGAAAAAGAGCAGATCTGTTAAAATGCTGTAATACCAACCCAGTCATGAATTTGGACAACAAAGATAAGTATGATATAAGACTCAGAGTAAGAGCCAAAAAATGCATAGCCTCTCCTCCGCCATTTGGTTAGGTTTTCCATGCAAACATAGGACTTGGGCAGACTCGCTACACAAAGTACTTCAATCACGTTTCCAAGGTAGCACCTAGGCTTGGGCATGGTTCGAGTTGGATTGGTTTTGAGCAAAAACCGAAACTGGCTTGGTTGGTTTGGGTAAATTCCAACCCAAATCGACCCAATCCAATTATTGAAACCAAACCAAATCGAATTTGGATCGGTTCGGTTTAGGGCAGTTTGAACATTTCCCAAGTTAAAAAAAATTATCTACCTATTTTGGGTTAAAAAATTTGTTTGCATATATATTAGAGAAAGAATTATATATATGTTTTTATTATTTTATTTTTTAAGTTTAAAATAAAAATTAAAAAAAAAAATGTATTACCAGATTGGGTTGTTTAATTGGCGGGTTGGTTGCGACAACCCGACTTGACATTTTAATGGTTAAAATAAAAAACCGATTTATTTTATTTTATTTTATTTTTTGTTCAAACCGACCCGACTCAGTTTGGTTTGGTCCCTTTTTTGCCCACCCCTATTAGCACCTCAAGAATCTATATTTGTAAACATGAGGGAGTCACTAGAAAATTTATTAAACTCCTAATCTTGGGAAGAACCTTTCTCCTTGAAAAACTCTGAACTTATTGGAAGTTCTTGAATTTATCTAGAATGGCCATGAAGGTTTCCATTTCACTTGCATAAATTAGAATTAAATCCAAGGCACCTTAAGGTACTCAAAATAATTACAGCATTTAAGACTAGTCCCAAATGTTGTCAACGGTCTTAAAAATCTTAAACTTACTATGTTCCTCAAGAATTTTAATTGTTTTTATCTTTGATGCCATGTAAGAGTTAGCAGCCAAGATAAAATTCTAGATTCCCATACTCAGATGTCCACCAAGAATCACTTTATGGACACATGAGTTGAAACAAAAAGGATCTAGACACCGTTGTTCTGGTGGATAAGGAGCAAAACTCAGCAGCAAATTCTTGTAGATTAAAAAGATCTTATTATAATTGATTAAAAAATCAATCTTCTACAATCATAACAAACATATGGTCATGAAAAAGAAATTCAATAAGCATACCATCGTCATCAATCATGGGATGATATGGCGTCTTTGGTTCAGTTATTTTCTGCCTTACAGGTTTATTCGCCTCGATTTCCCCCAGATTAGCTTCATCCCATTTCACTCGCGCCCTGGCACCTCAATTAAATTGCTCGTGTCAGTATTATTTTGATAACTGGAAAACTTCATATCTTTTTTTTTTTTATAGGTAATCAGATAATTTTATTACTTAACTGGAAAACTTCATATCAAGCAAGTTATTATATTCAAAGTCCAGCAATACTATCATAACATATTGCATCAAAAAGATGTAAAAGACAACATATTCGGACAGTCCATTAATTCCCTGAAAAAGTATTTAGGAAGAGAAATAAATGCAGCACACTATAACCACAGCTTACTCATGCACAAATCTTCCCCAGATGATAAAATTGAAAAAGGTACACCACAGTCCATGAGGTGTTTATTAAGCAGAAAAAATAACAAACAAAATTGCGTGCACCACTCATCAAATTTCAAGCGACTTTTGCTACATTGAATAAATCAAACGATGTACTTTTCATGCAATAGATTCAGAAATTAGTGAAAAGTTCCTCGTTTTAAATTGTTTCTTACATTTATAAAGAAAAATAATAGTCATTATAAAGAGTACAAGATTCTGGCAAACCATAGCAGGCAAACTTACTTCTTCGTTTCAGGAATTTGATAGTCCCCAGACATTCCCAAATCAAACCGAGCAATTGACAGCCGTCCTGATTACATTGATCCAAGAAAACATATATGCTTGTTACGTCAAATGCACTATAAAAATTAAGTAGCCTTTTTTAAATAAACGCTTAAAAGAAAATAAATAAGTGCACACTTTCAATCTTCCACATAGAATAAGTCCACAATTTAAAAACGCTAAAAATAACAGCAATCATATAGTATAATGCTGATAATGTTGAGCTACGCTAAATACAAGCTAATACTAGTATCAAGGATTCTAGATCGAGTTTTGCATCACAATTATGAGAATACTACCGGACCCATTTGAAACAGAAACTAAGAAACAAAAACTTTAACAAAATATTCAACGTCATTATAGTATTTTAAGGAAGAAGAATTAAACGGATAGATACTGATCCAAATCCCTAAAATTTATTCCAAATCCAATCAAACGCTATGGCTTTATCCGAAATCAAAACAAAAATTTCAGAGAAAAAGTGTAGATCCTTTATTAAAAAATTCAAACGTAAGTACATATTATTTTCAATTCAATGACAAGAAATAAAAATAATAATAAAATCACGTTCGAAGAAAACTTACGGATTTTCAGGTCCTTACTGCTCCAGACGAATTTGTTCCGTAAATTTTAGCATAGCCCCTTTCTATAAAAATTTCGCGGAAATTTTCTTCTCCAGGAATGCCCCCAAGTCAGCGTCTGAAATGCCGGGTCAGCCCTATTGACCACTAGAGTTTTGACCGGGTTTGATTAAGGGTAGTTTTAGAGGATATTTCATTGGGTGTCAAAATTTGGGTATAGATTATCAAAAATATCACCTTTCAAATTTTATCAAAATTTTTGACCCTCTAAATTATTTGAATACCTAACGTGTCCTTGTAGAAAAATGTGTAAGTGTCAGATGAAATGATTGAATGTTTGAAACGAAAAAAAAAAAAAAAGCCGTCAAATGAAAACAAAAGGAAGGGAAACTGACCCACAAAATCCCTAAACTCACTCCTCTCTCTCTCTCTCTCTCTCTCAAATCAACCACCGGCCGTCGACAACGAAGATAAACCGACACACAAAATCCCTAAACTCACTCTTCTCTCTCACTGAAATCAACCACCGACCGTCGACGAGGAAAAGAAACCAACACACACAAAATCCCTAAACTCACTCCTCTATCTCACCAAAATCAACCGTCGCCCGGCCATGGACGAAATTGGAAGTGTTGGTGGAATCAGCCACCGCCCCACCGTGAAAGCTTATTTTTCGAATCCCGTAGAGGGGCATGAAAGAATTTTTGGAGAATAAGCCCTTTTGTTCTTCTTCTGTAACGAGTCCTTTGAACGTCCATTATTTAGAGATTTTATGAGAAAATGTCGGACCAAGAATTGAAAGTTTGCACAAAGCAAAGATAATTTGGTAAGTTTCCCTCTTGTATCTTGGTTTGTTTAAATACTTTTTATTAACCATTTGTAAATCTCTATTTTTGTTCTTAATTTGCACAAATTGTTGTCTCCTTATTTTTTACAATTTCATAATTTCAAGTTGTTATAACTAATGTTTCGTAAAATTAATTTTATGCTTTATCATTAAATAATCATGCTACAAAATTCCTGAATCTCTCATGGCTGAGTTCATTGGCTTCGGGTGATACCAAGATTGCTGTGGTTTGGATATTCTCTTCCCATCATCATAGGGTATTGAATTATTTATTTGATTTATTTATGTGTTTTATTGATGGGGGAGAGAAAATGAGGTAGTGGGGTTGTTTGGTGGTTGCAGAGGAAGAACGTGGTGGAGGAGACAAAAGAAAATAGAAAAGGAAAAGGATGACAAGGATAGAGACAAAGGTGGGTGAAGGAACCGAAAATTATGGTCCGGGGTTTTGATGATCTTCTATTACTATTACTATAGCTATTATATTTACTTCTCTCTCCCGTTTCTTGCTTTACTAAAATATAGTTACCAGGACTATTCTTACTCTTGTTTTCAATCCTGCGTGAGCTCGCACTTCTGCTCCATGTAGTATTATGGTCTATTATCAATGCAAATATGTTCATCTATGTAAACATGTCATGTGCTCTTTGATTTCCAAGATAAGAATTTTTGTAATTAAACGCACTAGAAAAGAAAAGAGAATGCTTCTAATATCCGTATAAAAATGTCATTTATAATGATTACATTTTATTTGGATATTTGTGCCTCATAATGATTAAAGAGAGAAAGCTCTGCCTATTTATGCTCCAAATCATTAGAATGCCCATGAATTCCAGTAATTCTATTGTTTTTGGAAGTTTTTGTGACAAAAAACAACTTTTTAGTTAACCTAAAAACTGTTGTTTAGGATTCCCAATGTAACCTTGCCGTTAGGGAAAGATGAACCATTCAGTCCTGAATGGAAGCTCGACATTCATGTGAAAACTTAAACCAACTTTTTTCTTTACAAGTGGAAACAACAATGGTAGTGATAATAGTATGTGTGAAAGACTGAACAAACAATTTCATCTAGCAGACATGGTGTAATTCAGCTTAAACCTTATTTCTTATCTTTCACTGAACTCTATTATCTATGCAACGAACTTAATCATTTTAAAGCTAAAATGCTTAAAATTTCCTATCGGAGTTCGATATGGGAAATTTAAAATACCTTCATAATATTGATACCGAATACTCAATGCATAGAAAAGCATGAAGCACTTTAGGTATAACATAGTCGCTAAAAAGAAAAGAGAAAAATGAAAGAAAGCAATCATAAATTTACAGGAAAAAACATGAAGCATTTTCAGGGCAAATTAGGGGATTTGAAATACCTTATTTGGTGGAAATCCTGTCATTGTAGTTTTCGATTCCACGAGGTAAGTAACACAATAAAACCCCATACACATAAGAAGTAAAAGAAAAAGGGAATGGTTCAAACATACAAAAAAGTACATGATGAAATTGTCCAGAAATTACAAATATATATATACTTTAGATGTATCTCCGAAGAAATTAAACATCAAATTGTTCAGATTCTATGAATTGAATTTTTATTTTTATTTATTAATTTTTTTTGGTAAAACAAAGAAAACAAAATCACCATAGATGAAAGGAACTGAAACATATACTGTAAAATAGAAATGTCAAATTTGAGCACTACTTCTAAAGTATTTTTGATTCACAAAATCAAAGAAGAGGATAATTGCAGAATGCTAACATAATCTATCTACATGTACAAAAGAAGAGGAGAATGAATGAAATTTGAAGAAGAGAATTCTGATATAAGATGAATTGATAATTCGAACTTAAAACTTGGTCTCACGAGAAATTAATCAAAGGACAGAAACTTTGTATCTGTATAAAGCCAACGACGTTTACGCGAATCGAAGATAACTTTGTAAGTTCCGTTTTTGTATCCTAATTTGTTTAAGAACTTATTATAAACGCTTTGTAAATCTCTATTTTTTGTTCTTCATTTGCATAAATCCTTGTCCCCTTATTTTTTACAACTTCATATATTTGAGTTGTTTCTTAAAATTAATTTGATATATTTGAGAATTATTGACGTTGTTTGTTAATGGTTTAATACTTGAAATAGGCAAGTTCTGAGCACGAGGCTATAGGTCTTTGCATGCAAGTTAGACAACTTTGAGATATAAGGTGTTTTTGTAGTGTTAAACATTTTTCTCTATGAATTTATGTTACAAAGTATGAATTTACATGCATATTTGTCTAATTGCTTGGGATAAAAACATAAATATATTAGTCGGGTTCAATTTGAAAGAATGCTAAAAGTCATGACAAGAACTGGAACTACAACTTGATTAGGTTCAACAAGAATTTCTCTCAACGTGGAACTCCCACTATCTCCAAAATTGTTCTCCAGAAATTTAGCAGTAATGAACTCCACAATTCTAGTGTCGCGATTTGGACAGTAAAACTTATATCCCTTTGGTCTATTCGGATACCCAATAAAGTAGCCAGGAGTTGATTTAGGGTTTAATCTTTTCAAATGGATTATAAATCCTAACCTCAGCTGGACATCCCCAAACTTTAAAGTGAGCCATACTTGGCTTATGTCCTGTCTATAATTCAAAATGTGTCTTTGTAATAGTTTTACTTGGAACTCTGTTCAAAATATACATAGCTGTTTTGAAGGCTTCACCCCCACAAATATTCAGGTAAATTTGTTCTACTCATCATACTTCTAACCATATCTTTTAAAGTTCGATTACGTCTTTCAGAAACACCATTCTGCTCAGGTGTCCCTGGCATGGTGTATTGGGGCACTATTAGAAGTCATCAATGAAAGTTATGAAATATTTATTCCCACATATAGTGCAAAGCAAAGGTTCACTGATATCAGTGTGAATTAAGTCCAAAATTTCATTACTCCTAGTCGAACCCTTCCTCGTAGACTTAGTTAACTTTCCTCTTATACAATCTATATAGGTGTCAAAATCAGAGAAGTCTAAGGAAGGAAGTATCTCATCTTTTACTAATTTTTCCATTCTATCCTTAGAAATATGACACAATCGCTTATGCCACAATATAGAGGATGATTCACGAATTAAAACCCTTTTCTTTGATACATTTGTAACACACGAGACATCACCAAAAGAAACCAAAGATAATTTATATAAAGTATCACATAAAATGTCATTCCCAATCAAACGATAATCATTAAATAACTTAACCATTCCATTACCAAAATTAAATGTAAAACCACAAGCATCAAGTTTTGGTATAGAAATTAAATTCCGTCTCATCTGCGGTACATAAACTGTATTTTTCAAAACAAGATAAAAATCAGACTCTAAAGTTAACTTCATTACTCCTATGAATTCAACCTTCACTTGAAATCCATTTGCAACGCTCAAGCTTACTTCATTTTCACTTGGCCTCCGTTTGCTTATGAACCCCTGCAAGGAATTCGCAATATGAATACTAGCTCCCGAGTCTAACCACCAAGAATTTAAAGGCACATCTACTAAAGAAGACTCAAAATAAACTAAGGCCAAGGGAATACCTGGAGAACTCTTTTTTTTTTCCAACCAAGTCTTGAACTTAAAACAATTTTTCTGCCAGTGACCCTTCTTTTTACAGAACTTGCACTGATCATTTTTCTTTATAACTCCTTTGGGACCACTAAAATTTTTATTCTGCTAATTTCGGTGGGACTTATTAGCCTTATGAAACTTAGGTTTATGATTATGAGAAGGCCCCTTATTCTATGATAGCTGAAAAGCTAATTGCACAGTTTCAACAGTTTCACGGCGCATCCTATACTCTTCTTGCGCACACACTACTATGAGGTCATTCAAATTTCACTTATCCCACTGAGTATTGTAAGCAACCTTAAACTGATTAAACTTGTTAGGAAGGCTATTCAAAATATGATAGACTAGGAAAGGCTCCGCAATGGGAATGTCAAGAGTCTTTAGCCTAGATGATATATTTATCATTTTCATGACATGCTCCCTAACACCATTTGTGCCATCATATCTCATGCTCATCGATTTATCCATCAGATCCCCAGTTTCGACTTTATTAGACTCAACAAATTTTTCTCCTATGGCATCCATAAAACTTTTGACATTTTCATTATCAGGGATGGCACCTAGAATGGAATCAGATATCGATCGCTTAATGATTTTCAAACAGAGTTTGTTAGCCCTTTCTCACTTTTCATGCTCGGCTACATATTTAACGATACTCTTATCTGTGGGTTTTTCAAGTTTTTTCTCCATTGCAAAATCCAAACCTAAAAGACCAAGTGCTATTTCTACTTCTCGTTTTCATCTCACATAGTTATTGCCAGTCAAAGTTTCAATAGCAGACAATTGATACGAAAGAGATGAGGCATTATAAACTGTGGAAACATAAAATATCACTCTTAATATCATCCAAACTTAATCCATGCAATCAAATGGATGATGAAATATCCAACTAATTAATATGGGCTATGAATTAGATAATCCGTAATTTAAATCGAAACATATAAATTTTTATTACGGTAAGAGTCTAGATGCATCATCATAAGATTACCTTTGGGTCGACAATACAACATGCTATAAGATACTCTTAAAACACATTATGTAGCTAGTTAACAAAATTACATTGATTTTAGAAATTCCAACACCTTTGGACAGAAGGAAATTTTTAAACCAAATAAGCTCTTTAACTGCCTTATGTCATTTTCCAAAAATATCACATATAACAATACCTTTGGGCAAGATGTTACATGCAATAAATAAAAATTGTTGCACAAAACAAAGTATATATTTTTTTCAGAGAAAATCTAATAAATAATAATGAGCGTGCCACTTTGACAGCTACCACCCATTTTTATTTCAAAATATTTTTCTCAGTGAAAAAATAAAGATCGTCTCAAAACCCATGAAAAATTTAATTAAAGAACAAAAATTATGCAACAAATCATAATTATCAATCGATGAAAGACAAAAATTCATGTGATTGAAAGACGAAATTAGCAACAAAATTTCAAAATTTCAATATACATAAAAATTGAAATTTAAGCGTGCATATAATGACAACATTTAAATAAATACAAGCATTTTAACCAATGTTTTAAATATCAAACCGGACATCGATCCTAAAAGGAGAAAGGTCCATTTTTCAAAGGATTGAACCGGAAGGTTCATGTTTCAAAGGATTGAACTGGGGTGAACTAGTAATTTAATTAATTAATTAATTAATTTTATTTTGGACCAAATTTTAGATAATAATTATTTATTAATGATTTCAACTAATTACAAACAAAGAACTGGGCCTAATATAGCCCAATACCGAAGGTGAGCATCGGAACAAGTTAAATCCATTCTAAACCCTACAACTTTTAAAAATTACAGCCGCTCTCTCTTCCGCTTGATGGGTTTACTCTTGAGTCTTTAGAAGGGGGAAAAAAAAAGAAAAAGAAAAAAAACTCAAGAATGCTTGATCTTTGACTTGGATATGTCAAATCTTGAACAAAGGGGTTTGAGAAGCACAAATAAAAACTGGGGTGTGTTTGTATAATGTAACTAAAAACAAGCACCACCATTGGATGCTGCAGCCAAGTCGGTAATGGAGTATGCGTGCGACAAAGCCATGTGAAACTGAAGGTATCATAAGCAAAATCACCACCGTCAATTTCACAATATGGGGATTTGTCAGCCGTTCAAATGGTAGTATCGATGGGTATCGTAAGTGGGGGTGGAGTTTAGAAGCCGTCATCGAAATAGATGGTGCATTGTAAATGGATTAGGTGTGACCCGTGGTATATGGAGAAGAAGATGCTACCAAACAAGAAATTGAGTTAAATGAAAATTATTTCGATTTACTCGACGCTCAAATTCTATTAGTTTTTTCGAAAGGTCTGTTCACTTGAATGGATCAGGTGAGTTTTTCTGAAAAGTTCATTCCTTTAAGATAACCCATTTAGTGAAACTTGTGGATATTCAGAAAACATTAATGAATTGGCATAAATCTTTTTAATCCTATTGAGAAAAATAAAAGCACCCAGTTTATTTCTAGCTAGAAGATCAAAGACCGCTGCTTTAAATTCAACAAATATTTGAAACAAAACTAGTTTGCAATTTTACATAATCATTGAATTATTTCCAAATCCAAAATTCACCAGTTAGATGTTTAAAATCAAATATATAAATTATATCATCAATCTACTTAAAACCCACAAAGGCTCCTACTAGCAAAAAGTGATTTTGATCGGTAAAATTTCAAAAAGCAGAATTCAGAGAGAGAGAGAGAGAGAACGGATGGATTATTGGATTCTAATATTAGCATGGAGGTTCTGATACCAATTGTTGAATTTTATTGTAATCATGCTAAGAACAAGAATCACAGAATAATAAATTGATAAATCGAATTCATACCTGCGGAAGTTATTGTTGATATGAATAATAGTTATAATAGCGGCCAAGATCTTTCCCTCCTTGCTCCTCACAAAGTATTAGTTATCAATGGGGCAAGCCAATAAAACATATGGAGAGGAGAGGGGATCTAACCTTTATATATAGGAAATAATTTGACCCGTCCCATTACGATTAGAATTCTAATTAGGGTTTATTTCCGTCCCACATACTTTAAATTACCACATCAAATTAATTACAACTCGTAAGGTATAAAAGGCACAATTGATCACCAAATAAATTTGATCTAAACACAAATATCATTATGAGCCATATATCTAACATGTAAAATTTTGCAATCGAATGTGAAGCCACATATGCAATTATTAATTATTCCAACATCTAATTCTATAGAAGTGTACACATAACTACTAAGATGAGATTCAGTACATCAAAAGACAGTAATCCTCTGGACATACCTCTCTGCTGTATAAGTCAATTGGTCATCGCTAACAAATAGGTTATAATGGAAAATCAAGGTTGTTATGTTTCCATGTCTGAGACTTTATGCAATCTTCAAGACTCGGGTTAGTGTTGTAGCAGACGGACCACCAACATATACATAGGGTTCTGATGGGGTTTTAATGAAGTTCGATTTTAGCATTGATGAATCAGCGTCTTCCAGATGAATGGATCACAAGCTGCCAAACGCCACGAGGTCAACCCAAAGATGTCAAAACACTGGAATATCTTTACCAGAACATCGTTATCGATTTCCTCCCATTTTCTCAAATGGGAATCTGTATCCTCCATTTTTATAGCTTTGGAATTCCTCCAAGAAAACAAAAGACATCACTGCACAAACAAAGTAAGCTAGAAAGATGATCGGTATGAAGTATCAATGAAACAAGCATCAATGAGAATTGGTGGTAAAAATTGTAATCACAATTAAGAAGCGAAAATTGCAATGCTAGTCCTCCAACTTATTTCCAGAGTAGAAGTTGGTACCCAAACATTATAAAGAAGTAAGTTGGTCCCCAACCTTTCCCTGTTATCCCCCCCCCCCCCCCCCCCCCCCCCCCGGGGGGGGGGGGGGGGGGGGGGGGGGGGGGCAGCAGCTCCTGCAGCCTCTACCAACAGCCCGTAAGCCACACCCCCATCGGGTTAGTTCCCTTTAACACTCCAATCTCAACCAAGTTTTTCAATTTGAGGTTGTTACGCGAATTTAAGAAATGCAAGAGTGAAATTCATACTGAAATTAGGAAAGAAGAGATCAACAACACAGAAGAATGAAAAATAGAGAATAGAATAATGCCTCTAAGAGCTACGTCGTGAAACAAATAGATCATAACGACAATTCATCCTAGTTGAAGCATTCTGGCTATAACTACAAACTCTCGAGGGCATCGAGTTATTCGAGTTGAACTTCTCTCTATGCATAGAATTTGTGCCCATAGTGAAATGTGTGCAAATGGTAGTGGAAAGATTGTCTTGATAGTGAAGTGATAGTGTAGGATAAAGTTTTCAAATGTCGAATGCGAGTGGTGCAAGGAGTATCTGTGTGTGCTTGGCAAACTATGTAGTAGCTTTCAGTGTGTGTAATAATAACTCTCTAGTTGCTTAGGAAATCACTTGATCTGAACATAAAATTTCCTTAAATTCAGTTTCACATTATCTACTCCAAAAGAACACATATTTTTGAAGTATCCAGTAAAACCCCCAAAAAAATGATTGCCGCCTACATGTTTTGACACACAATTAACAGAAAATGTTACAGAGAAGATTCAAATTATAAAATGTCAATAACCCTAATTTGATCTAGTCTTCACACAAGAAAACACACAACTCAATATCATCAAATTAATGAGCACTAAAAGAGAAGAAGAGAATTATACATACAATTGAACCTTGGTTTTGTTTATTTTCTCGGCTATGATCTCAGGCTCCGACTTTCGTTTCTGGGTCTGAAAATTTTGCTGTTGAATTTTATATAAATAGAGATAGACAGACAGTAAAACTTTATGAAAAGTATATCTCTTTAGCCGCCGCCAGATTTTTGTTACAAGTCAAGCAGAATTTTAACATTTGACTGGGAGACGCTAACAGTATCAGTGACTATATTTGCACTTAAATTAAATTCAATCACTTGATTGTAATTAATTAAAGTTCAGTGACTCTTATGCAAATTAAGTAAACGTTTAATACTTTGAAGATCATCTTCTGTAATCTCTCTGCCACAGGGCGTGGACCTTATGGGAAATACATATAAATAGTCTTTAGAAAAGGGTCACTTTGAGCCTTTAGAAAAAGGTCACTTTTCCAAAATGACATTTGGTCAATTTACATATCAAAAATGCCCTCCATTTGAATATTACATAATAAGACACTTTAATATAAAAATTCTCTATTTTAGTCCTTAAAATTAAATACTGGTTGAAATTTGATAGTTTTTATTTGATTTTTTTTATTAATATTTTTAATTTGATTTATTTGATTTTTGTTTGCTCTAAGTAGCACCCCTTTATTGGTATCAGAGTCATAGAGATCATGAAAATTAAAATAAGAAAAATAGATAATTATTAACGTTTAGAAGAATAAAGAGGTAGTTATATTTTTTAAAACCTGTTTATAATAGATTAAAAATAATGATACTAACAATAATCAAAGAACTGCCTAAAGAAATAAAGGAACAAATATTAGAAAAATTAATAATAGAAAAAATAAAAGATATATATACATATGAAAAATTATTAATATATATGAAGATGAAGAAAACAATTTATATTACAAAAAAAAGTATGAGTACAAGTAATAATACACATTTAAAATTAAATAAATTACTTATAAAAATGAAAAAAATACAAGAAGAAATACTAAATATAATGTTAATACCAGAAGGAATGAGAATATCAAATAATAGACAATTAATAAAATTAAGATGTGAGAAATTAAGACTTGAGAGAAAATATTTTATTATAGTAAAAGAAGAATTAGTAAATCCAGATATAGTTGAGAGAAGATTTGGAAAAATAATAAATAAAAAGGAAGATAAAAAATGCAAATTAACCTATGAATTAGAAATAAGAAAAAATTAAGATGTCAATAAGTGAATATATGGAAGAGTTAAAGTCATTAATAAAAATGTTAATAAATGATGTACAAGATTTAAAAAATGAAGTAAAAGAAACAAGAAACGATATAAATATATTAAAAATTGAAATTAAAAAATTAAAAGAAAATAATAAAAATAAATATAAGAAAATAGATAAAAAAAACTTATAGAAAAAGAAATTACTCGAATAGGAAAGAAACATATAGAAAAACAGAAAATAGTAATAGAAATAGGAAGTATGAATGATGAATTTAGAAAGAATATATTACCAAAAATATTAGAAGAGGAAGAAAAATTTAGAGAAAAATCATTAAGAAAATTAAAAGTAGAAGAAAAAGAAAAAGAAGATAAAAATGAATGAAGAATTAGATTTGCTAATAGAAAATTTTGATCAATTAAGTTTAACTGATAAGTGAATACCGAATTTTAATGAATACTGGAGGAGGACATAATTCAGCAGGAACCTCTAAACAGAAATTACATGATACAAATGAAAATTATGCACCTATGTATAATAAATCATATAGACAATTTTATAATAAAGTAAGAGATAGACAACCATCTAAAAGAAATAAATATAAAGATAGGTTTGAATTAAATGATAATTATGATAAACCTATTAATCATGGATGAACAAAACTAGATTTAGATTGTAAAGTAGTTACTAAAAAAGCCTTATTAACTTGGGCAGATTCAATGTTATTATTCTTTTTATATAATAAAGATGATACATGAGAAAATATTGAAAGAAAAATAGATTTCTTAATAGCATCTTTTGAATGAGATGTTAGAAATTGATGGAAATGAATAAGCAATGATACAAAAATATTAATAAAAAGAAAAATACAAACAGAAATAATCAAGTCAGATAGACAAGGTATAGAAAAATTAGTAGAATATATTTCAAATGAATTTTTAGTGAAAAATTGGATAAAAAAATGCTAAAGGGGAATCAGTAAGAGAAAAATATAATGCTAGAATAAAATTAATAAATTTAACAATATGTGATATGTGTAAAATTAAATAATATACTTGTGAATTTAAAAATTACTATTATGTTCAATTTTATAATAATGAAAATCAAGAAGTACATCACGACATGTACTATAATTAGTTACTAGGTTTATGAGGAATATATTTTAAAATAGAATTTGAAAAATATGTTACAGATAATATTGAAATACCTAAAACTTTAGGTTCAAGAATAAAATTTTTATTTGAAAGACTTGCATATATGTGTCAACAAAGACATTAATGAAAAAAGCAAAAAAATTAACTAAAAGATGTTGTGAAGATATGGAAATCCCTGTGCAATGGGGATGTAATCCTAAAAAAAATTAATAAAATAAAATATAAAAATAAAAAGTTTAAAAAATTTAGGAATTTTAATAAAAAATATATAAAACCTAGAAAAAGATATTACAAAAGAAAAAATAACTCATATAATCAACAGAAGAATAAAAAGAAAAATAAAAGCGAATGTAAATGTTGGAATTATAGATAAATGGGTCATATAAGTCTTGATTGTGATAAAAAGAAAATTAGAATATTACAAAAAAGAATACTTAGAAATAAAAGATAAATTAAGTGAAATATCAGATATTGAAGAATACTATAATCAAGAAGTATATATAAGTGAAACAGGGGATGAATCAGGATCTGAATAGAGAAATTGAAAAAATAGAAAGTAATAACATAAATATACAATAATATGAAGGAATAGAAGGATATGGATTAATAGTCATTTTTGATAATAACAAGTTTAGAAAATTGTAAAAATTATCTTTGGACTTAAAAATAGGAAAATGGGAAGTTTTTGATAGAATTTGGAAAAGAGAAAGAATAGCAATAAATGAATATCATAAAATAGAAAAAATTATAGATGTAAAGACAACTTATGGGCAACATAAATTAAATCTTTTAACAAAAAATACAATTGAAAAACTATTAACAAAGATTAATAAAAAACAAAGTGAAAAAATTCAATATGTTTATTTGGGAGGAATACAAATAATGTTTAAATCACTATTTAGAGAAGTGATAGATTCACTCTAAACGATACTTTACATGATAGAAGAATGATAAATTTAAAAGATAACAATTTAGGAACAATAGAAGGAAATTTAGCATATCAAAAAATTATGTTTACATGTTATCCATAATATTGTGCATCATTAAAAGATAAGAATTTTAATGAAGTTTTAAGACTACATTTTAAACTTCATAGAGATGATACCATGCAGGCTGATGATCAAATTATGACTATAGAATATAGAGTTTTATATACATTTACTAATTCTAATTATGGGAATATTTATTCCAACAAACCATATATTGAAGTCCATAAAGAATGTAAAGATATTAGCAAAATAATATAATCAAATGAACAAATAAGTTTAATTTCAGAAGAATATGAATTTAGTATAACAAAAAATAAACCTAAAATAATAGAATTAAATGAAAGAGAATGTTCTAATAATATTATATTTAAGGATGAAAAATTAATTAAAAGATCAAGAAGTTTTAAAATACATAATAAAAACCAGTTAGAAGAAATTAACAAAATAAAAGAAGTCAAACTGTATAAAAATGCTGGAAATATGAAAATAGAAGGAGAATATTATAATGGAAGAGAAAATATAAATTGACCAAATATATTAATAGATATAGAAGTTAGTGAATGTCATGTAGTTTCGATTAGAAATAAAGATCTAATAACTCATAAAATTGAGCCATATAAGTATGTAAAATTTGATGGACAAGTACATATTACATATTTATAAGTTAAGGTACCAATAAAAATGGGAGGAATAGATCTTTTAGTATCATATTACATAGATAAAAGTATATATATAAATTCTCATATACTTTTAGGAATGAGTTTTTTAAATGGATTAGAAGATTATATATTGTTCATAATAGACAAATTACATTATATAAAAAGAATTAGATGAATAATCAGATAAATTTTCCATTAACTGTGTATATACAAATTGCTATTATAGAAACAAATATAACAACTTGTGCTTTAATAGATATAGGAAGTGATATAAGAATGTTTAAAATTTTTTTAATAAAATCATGAAATAATAATAGTAATATAAAAATAACTGGAGTTACAGGAGAAAGTACTCAAATAATTAATAGTGCTGATAAAGTTAGTACAATTCTTAGAAGTAAACAAGTAAAATAAATAAAATTTATAAATATGATAAATTAGACTGTGATATATTATTAGAAAATGATTTCATACAATAATTTCAATATTATAAACAAAATAACTATATGATAATGCTACAAACACCTTGTGGACACTTATTAAAAATTTATAGAGAATTTAAATCTTATAGAGTTCAGCCAGCCCAGCGTGGTGATAAATGAGAGAAAAACTAATTATATATAATGAAATAAAAAATAAAAGAATATTATATAAAAATGTTCTAAAAACAGGAATAGAAATAAATATAGAAAAAATCATTGAACAATTAGAAAAGGTTTATGGAGAAAATCCATTATTATTTTGAAAACCACATCACCCAAAAGTCAAAATAGAATTAATAAAAAATGTTATAATAAGAGTTAGACCAATGATGTATAATATAGAAGATACACAAGAATTTAAAAATTAGATAAAAGAATTGTTAGAACAAAAATTTATTAGACCTAGTAATGGACCTCATAGTAGTCCAGCCTCTATGTTTATGAAACATTCTGAACAAGTTAGAGGAAAAGCTAGAATGATCATAAATTATAAAGAATTAAATAAATATACTAAATTTGATGGTTACTTTCTATCAAATATAAAAGTGTTAATAAATCTCGCAAGAGGAAAACAATATTATTCTAAATGTGATTGTAAATCAGGATTTTGGTAAATAAAAATGGAAGAAAATAGTATACAATATACTGCATTTAGCACACCTCAAAAAAAAATATGAATGGTTAGTTATGTCATTTGATCTAAAAAAATGCACTACAAATATATCAAAAAAAAATGGATAATATATTTAAAAAGTTTAATGAATTTCTAATTGTTTATAAAGATAATATATTAATATGTTCTAATAGTAAAGAAGAATATAAAAATCATTTAATCCAATTTATTAGGGAATGTAAACAACAAGGAATTATACTATCTAAAAAAAAAATCTATAATAGAAAAATAAGAGATAGACTTTATTGGATTATCAATAGATAAAAGAGAAATAAAATTACAAACTCATATATCCAAAAAGATAGAAAGTTTTTCATATAAATTAAAATCCAAAGAACAAATACAAAAATTTTTAGGATGTTTAAACTATGCAGAAAGATTTATTGAAAATCTTTTTAAGAAAAGATATAAAATCCAAGTTTTACTTAGAAAAACAAATACTAAAGGATGGAATGAAGAACATACAGAAATAGTTAAAACATTAAAAGAAGAATGCAAAAATTTATCAAAATTAAGATTACCAGATGAAAAAGATAATTTGATTATTAATACTGATGCCTCAGATAAAAATTGGGCAACAATATTAAAAGGAGATATAAATGAAATTTCTAGATATTCAAGTGAAACTTTTAACCAAGCAGAAATAAATTATACTACTCATGAAAAAAAATTACTAGCAGTTATTAGAGGAATAAAAAAGTTCTCATTATTTTTATTATTCAAGAAATTTATTGTTGAAACTGATAATTCTCAAGTTATAGGATTAGTCAGGAATAAATTACCATCAGAACCTCAATACAGAAGGTTCCATAGATGGCAAATTTATTTAGCATTTTATAATTTTGATATAGTCCATATTAAAGGAGTTAATAATTTTCTTGCAATTTTCTTAGCAGAAACATATAATTTGCTGATGGATAAAAGTTGAGGTCATGGAATTATACCAATCTATCCTACATATACAAAAAATGACAGATTTTCTTGAACAAGAATTCGAAAATATAAACTCTGGAGCAATCCAGATATCAGAGATGTTCAACTCAAATATAAAAATACTGTTGAATATCACTACCGAGCATCATAAATATGTCATAGAACTCAAAAATTAAGTTGATGTTATTGCAACACAACTAAAAAGATATACTGTCTGAGACAGATATACCAAAGAGCTCAGAAATGAGTTTTCCAAACCAATACCAAATAGGGATAGCTGGAAGCAGCAGTGGACCCAGACGTGACTACATACCAACTGATAATAAAGGAGATTCCATTTCAACCAAAAAAGTTTTGACACAAGGAGATAAAAGAGATATCAAAACAATCAGCATCATAGACTAAGAAGATAAAATTCCTTTAGATCCAAAAGAAGAAAAATATGCCGAGATAGTCAAAATTGTTTATGAAATAAAAATAAGTGATTCATATTTCATTTCTCCGAGAAATAATGTTTATCCTAGAATTATAGCCACGGAAGGAGGAGACCCTTCATTTATAAAAATTATAGCAGACTATGGATTCATGGATTTGATATATCCAGGAAAAGATTTGATATATCCAGGAAAAGATTTGATTGAAATTTCGAAATTTGATGACATATTCATTAAAGAAGTATCCATATTTGCTAAGTGAAGGAAAATATATTTAAAATTATATTCCATAAGTCCAAAATATGATGGAGTTGTTTACTATCCAGTTGAATACATAATCTCAATTGGATATGTTGCAGCCAATTTCCAAATTAATGTTACAGAAAATAATAGAAAAGTTCCCATAGTGACAAAATCATGGATCAGACATAGAAGAGCACTTGGAATTAAAACCATTTATAACATTGCCAAAAATTTGTTTAATAAAAAATTCTCATGCCTGTGTCAATATGAAAATTGGATGTTGGCATCCAATGGAGGATATGGAAAATCAGAAATTTTGAAAGACTATATTACAAGATTCGATATCCATCAATTTCCAGGATATCCTACCACTATAAAAGAATCCTGCCAGCTAAGGGAGTACCCCAACTGCACGTGAAGAAATTGAGGAAAATGACAATAATAGAGCACCTTTGACAAAGGTGCATGGAGAACAATAATACAGCTGTATGTGAAGACATTGAAGATAAAGAGCAATAATAGAAAAAGATGCTTTTTGGATAAAAAGTTAAAGCAACATGTGAAGATATAGGCCCAAGGAGGAAAATAATAGAGAGGCAAGTGTGCCTTGTTGATGTATTCAATGATGTAATATAGTCTCATAAACTTGTATAAATAGAGACATTGCCATAGAGAAAGATCATCTTATCTTGAAATCTCGAATTCTAAGCAATAGTCACTCAAAAAATCATTCCAGTTTGAAAACTCAGTTTTTCTGGAAATCCCTTTGTGCCAAATAGAAGTCTTGTATAAATTCTGATAGAAATAAAACTCCAATATTTTGATATAAATATGAGTTTCTAAATCTTTATTCCTATAGATTCTTGAAAGATCTGATAAAAAGTTTCCTGGAAAAATTGCAGCCGAGGTACCAAACCTTTTGTTTATTAGCAGACTTTGCCCAAACCTTTAATTTGTGCCATTCACAGTTCCAAACCTTTCAAAAATATGCACCAGGGGTTCAAATGGATAGAAACCGTTCGTTTGACCGTTAGTTGACCAATAAAATTAAATTTTGACCAATTTTTGACCAACTTAAAAGGGTAGAAAGGTAAAATTTTATTTAATTCTATAATAAAACAAATAATCTAATATACCAAATAAAAATAAAAAGAATTACTATTCACCTTCTTCTTCCCCCCACCCCCACCCCATCCCACCCCACCATTACTGTAATTTTTCGAATAAAAAATTCTGGAAGAACTGGGCTTCTTGCTTCGAAAAAATGGAAGAACTATAATTTGGTGTTAGGGACATGAATCTCTTTTTCTTCATATTTTTGGTTCTCTCTTTTTCAAAGAAAGAAAAAACAATAACCTTGAGAGAATTGGGAAGGTAATAGATGCCAGCATGAATGACTTCACTGTTGTGAGACTGGTGCCTGTCCCAAAAGTAGATGCAGATTCTAACACAATAACTTCTCTACCGTGGTTCATTGCAAGCTCTCTAGCTATGGCTATGCCCACCACGCCTACACCTATCACCACCGCGTACACTTTCTCCTTTGACACTGATTTGTACTGTTCGTCGGTGAAATACGACGCCGATTTGATAGCATTTCAGGTTGTTGCCAATAGGGTTTTGAATTTCTTCATGTTTTCTTGAGAGATTGGAATTCATTCTTTCGGCAGCAACACAAGAATTAGATGGCAATATTTGGCTAAGATTAAAATGACGGAAATGTAAGAGATTCATGTCCCTAACACCAAATTCCAGTTCTTCCAGTTTTTCGAAGCAAGAAACCCAGTTCTTCCAACATTTTTTATTGGGAAAATTGCAACAGTGGCGGGGTGGGGTGGGGTGGGAGTGGGGGAAGAAGAAGATGAATAGTAGTTTCTTTTATTTTTATTTGGTATATTAGTTTATTTGTTTTATTATAGAATTAAATAGCAAATTTACCTTTCTACCCTTTTAAGTTGGTCAAAAATTGGTCAAAATTCAATTTTATTGGTCAACTAACGGTCAACGGACGGTTTCCATCCATTTGAACTTCTGGTGCATATTTTTGAAAGGTTTGAGACTGTGGGTGGCACAATCTAAAGGTTTGGGCAAAGTCTGCTAATAAACGAAATGTTTGGTACCTCGATTACAATTTTCCCAAAGTTTCCTTCTTATTTTAGTAAAAAGAAAGTTTTTCTTTAACAGAAGTTTAGAATTTTATTCTTTAGAAGTTGATACAGTGAGAGTAAGTAGCTGGAATAGTAACAATTTCATGGAGGCAGGAGGCCGTTGAAGGAAGCAGTTTACATATTCAGAGCTCGAAAGTCACTCGGTTCTAAGAATAAAAGTCCAGATCAAATTTAAGGTAAAATTGTTAAACTTTTGGTAAAATTAGAATGAATCTTTTTAAGATCTTAGGGAATCATAGGGATTAATTGATGATTATGAATAAATGTCAGGATATACAATTAAAGGATTAGATAATCTATTAGAAAAAATAAAAAATATTATCACTCAATTAGAAAATATAAATTTACCATTTGAAAAATATAGCATTTTAATCAGAAAATATGAAATATATGTTGCAAATTATTCTTATTTATTAGATTATAGAATAAATTTATATTTACATATTTAAAGTAGAAGATAAAACATTTAAAAAATTAGAATATATGATGCAGTATTGAAAGAATTATTTCATTAAGAATATTAAGAATAATATGGGACTTTGAACGAAAAGAAATAGTGATGGGCAAATAGAAAAATTTCCTACCCTTGTCCACCCGACTCAATTCAATTAAATCCATATAATTTCTGATCTTGGTTTCTTTCTTTGCTTTCATTCACACCTTTAGGGGTGGCAGTCGAAACTATTCACACTTAGTGCGAGAGAAAATGGGCGGGGGAGGAGAGCACCACCACGTAGATGGGGCCCACGGGCACGGCGGAGACTTTCGGGCAAAGGTGTGGAGTATGTCGGGTGGGCCATACTGCCGGCCAAAGCACTGGAAACGCAATACTGCCTTCGCCATATTCGGCATCGTCCTTGTTTGTATTCCAATCGCCATGAAATCCGCGGAGCTCGAGGTATTGAGTTAGTACTCTTTTGATATTTGAATGATTAATTAAGATCTGGAGTATTTGCTGAGGGGGATCTGGTGTCGGTTGACCTAATTTTTAATCTTTCTTTTAACTCTGGTTTAGGGTTTAGGATTCGATTTTATAATTTATTCCTCCGTTTATTTTGTTTTACTGAATTCGTAGGAGTGGGTTGGGATGTGGTGCGTAACGAATTCAAGTATTTACACTTATGAATTGCGCATGGATGGAATGAATGTCATTTAGGAGTTTTGATCAAGTTCATACTCAATGGGATGTGAAAATCTGGAATTTTGGTCGATAGGGACTTGTTTTTCAGTTTATGGGCTTAAGACTTTTCTATCATATGGTTTGACACTTTGTGATACGAGTAATTGACTATGCAATATGCAAATGACAACCCCTTTGCATGGGTTACTTCAAGATCACGGATTTCTGTCTGGGAAGGGTTCCTCGCAAGTTGGCTTCTTCTACCTTGTGGAAACAAATTATAAATCTCTCTTAATTATGGTAATATAATCAATTTCCTCCTGTTATCCTGTCTAACCAAAAATGAGAAAAGGTTTTCGTCATGAATTTTCGATCATTTTTTTCTTGCTGAACATTATCAAAATAGAGCATTAATGTTTGTTTCATTAGCTAAGAGCACCTCACTATTAAAATTGATGACGAATGATATAATGAAATTTTGGATTTGCTTTCTACACATTACATCCTGTTATTTTTTTAGTGAAGTTATTTGGAAGGAGAAGGAAATGACACTGTTTGATTTTACAATCTTTATTAGAAAAAAAATCTGTAACTTATCTAAGACTGATAAATTGTCTGTCTTTCCTGAGAGGGATGTCTTTCACTTAGATTGACCTGTGCCAGTGTTTGAAGTGAATATCTTTAAATTTAGGCATTGTTATAGGACACATTCACTCTGCAGAAATACCTCTTCTGGATTTTATTCCACCATCGTATTGTGTATGGGGTTTATCAGCTTGTAGTGAAAATTAATTTCCCTATTTAAGATGCATGGAGTTATTATATCCTTCGATATCTACTGTTATCATTATTTTTCTTCAACTACAAAAGAAATTTATTAATAGGAAGAAAGAGAGAGATAAGAGGGAATCTTCAGTTACAGGTAAAGAAAAGGTTACCTGACAATTGATCTCAACTCCTTCACACATCTTTTAGAGCTTGACTGTTGAAGTTTGACTGCTTCAGTCCATAAGATAGGAAACCATCCCATAAAGAGGAGTGAGCTTATGATGCTTGGAAATTATTGTAATCTTCTCAATAATTAAACCAGTTATAGTAATCAAAGCACATCTCGACAAGATTTTGCTTTCTTTGGATCTCCTGAAACCCAAGAAGTTATGCAATAAGTTCTCCCTCGTATGTAAATTCTCATGACCTAAAGGCATGTGACAGACGCGGAGGTTGTAGGACTTTCATTTACCAACATCTGAGAGCTCTTTTTCAGCTTTTGATAGTGAAAAATGTGATTTCTTCTGGTGCACGTACTTTTAGTCTTGATTATAAAGTCATGCAGAGATTTCTAGCTAGATTTTTGCTGCTTTCTGTCTCTGTCACGTTTCTGGTCTCTTGAAGGGCTTTCTAATGAGGTTAAATGAGTAACTGTATTTGCATTGAATTTATCAACATTAGATTGTGGTTATAGGAGTTTTAGGTGTGGTTTATTATCTGATTCTTAAAGATGATATGGTCTGAAAGAACTGAAATATTGTTCCTATGCATGCTAAGGTTGAATGCTTAAGAAAAGTATGTTTCTTGATAAACTTTGTATGACTAGCAATTTGATTTGATCTTCAACTTCTTTAGCCAAGTCCTAATTAAGTGGGACTGACCTGAGAATTCATTGAATTTACAACAAGGAAACTTGTAAATCTTCTTCACGGACATCTTTTGATACCTTTGGAGGACAATTTTCTTCATAGAGAAGTTTTGGATGAAATTTTCTTGAGAATATTTGTTTCTGTTATTGTTTGTTAGAGTTGAGCCTTGTTATTGGCTTTATTTAATCATTCAAATATTTTTAGTGGCTTGAGCAGTATGCATTCCAGTGTCCGGTGAATGTAGAAGGATTATACATATTTATTGTTATAGTACTTGTTTCAACACATCACATGTAATTCTTGTTATATCTTCTAGTTACATTCGATTTTCTTTTATGCAGCAACGACCACATCTTCCTGTTCGCCCAATTCCCTCTCAGCTCTGGTGCAAGAATTTTGGGAACAAGGATTATTGACAATGTTGTTAGCGAAGCAACTTGATTAGTTTGCAATGAAGCTGAGAACCAACCACCATTGTCTTTGGTATCAATATTCTACATGCGCTTTCTGTTTGATTGAATAAGAAACACGTCTGTTTGTAGGTTTACATGGATAATGTTGCAGATTCCTGTGTAATTCTGCAACTATTCAAAATTACAGTTATGAAGTCAGTTTGTGACATGCTATGAAGTCAGTAACATATTTGTAATGTTACAGTTATTTACTATTTCCAAGGAATTAAATGTTGGGTTTGGGGTTTTAAATTTGAATAAAGTCACTTGTACACTCTTTTTATACATCATTGTGCACATCATCCGAGCTGACAACGTGTGATTGATGAAAAGTTTCATTTATTTATTCATTTATTTTTTTCAAACTGTCAAATAGGAGCTTGCATGTGGCAGAGTGTACACAAATTGTATACTATGATGTTCATGAAGAGTTGTTTAAATTTCTCGTGAAAAGTATGTGTTTTGATTAGAGAAGTTGGGTAACAAGCATATTTATGAGGATGTTTGTTAAATAGAGGCGACCACACCATCTCAGATTAGACAAACTATTCCTTATGCAACGGAGAGTTAATTGTTCCAATGGTCACTGAAGTTAGGTTTATGTCTTTGATTGGTTACTGAAATTTAAAATGTCGAGTTTTGGTCACTGAACTTAGGTCCATGTCTTCGATTGCTAACTGAAGTTTAAAATGTCTAGTTTTGGCTACTAAACTTTGAAAAATGTCGTACATTACTCACTGTAAATTCAATATTTTTCAAAGTTCAATATTTATGCTAGTGAAAGGTTTTGCTACTTTGGTTTCTTTAATGGGCTGTCATTTAGATTATGGAAATTTACGTTGCAAGAATTTATTTTTCTTGTGGCTTATGATTCCTCAACTTGTCTAAAAGCTATGGGTTGAATGCTTCAACTTTCTGGTCTTGTTTCTTCCATCTGGGCCACGGGATTTTCTCGACTTCTATGCTTGATCTAGATGAAAGGAAGTCGATGGCTCCCTATGTTGGTGATAGAGTATCAACTCGCATCCCCCTGAAAATTTTCGACTAAGGGCCTTATCATTTATCTCCAATTCAAATCGCGCAAGCCTCCAACAATAACTTTCCTATTGTGGGTATCATCGGTTTGGTTAGATTTTATTTTATATGTTTTACTTCGAGGCAAATCGTATAGAATATGATATCATATGTGGTATGCTGGGAATTAATTGATGTGAATACCATTTAGAATCTGTTCAATTTTTGGGATATTCATTTCACTATAATATTTCTCGGCTTCTTGGGTTATCTTCGTATCGCCTTCGGTTGCTTCCAATCAAGGTCTTCTAGCCTCCACTGCTAAAATCTGATTTGGCTTCTTATGGAATTTGATTTTGTGGTTTAGCATCAAGTCAGTATCTATTGCAGCCCTTTGTCGATTTCCGTATATTATAGATTTAATGATATAGCAGGATTTCAGGGAAGGAAAATTCTTTTCTTGCTAGTTTTAAAGCAGCCATACAATTTGATTTGGTGGGTGCTCAAGTAATTTTCAGTGTTGGCAAATTATGAATGTTGAGTATGGGATCCTTATGACTTTGGCCATCTACAGGGACCATTTTTATCTCAAGGAATGTATTTACGTTTAAAATAGTTGATTAAAATTCTTTACACATACTCAGAATACGCCAAAGATGCAATCAGATTTGTGCAAGGATTATCAGACTTGCTTGTGATACGCTAAACGATAATTCTCTTAGCATGAAATTGTACTGGAAATGAAACATAAGCATAGATTTGAAAAAGGGGATGATGATAGAGCTTAATGTAATTGCTATTAATGAATTGTTATCCTATTATTGCTCTTATACATTGGAAATGGCCAGTGGCATCATGAATTCAGCAGAATGGCCAGCTCAAATTTCTCTTATTCGGAGCACTTTTGATCATTCTCTCTATGTATTGGAGGCATGTCCGGGACTAGGTTGTAAGACCTCGCACCTTTGATAGTGAGCTTTAGCTCGTGGTTTCTTATTTATTGAAGGCAAGCCTTTGCTCGTAGTTTTCTCATTATTGAAGACAAGCCTAGCTCGTTGAGTTCTTATTATCAGATGCAGCATTTTGGAGTTTTAGTTCCTTGAATAAAAGAATAAGCGGTATCTTTGAGTCCTTGTTTCTTTGAATAAAGGAAAAGGCAAAATCTTGAAATATTTGCCCTTGAAAAATGAGCATTTTGTGGCCCCACCTGAATTTTTTTTGCCTCATAAAGAAGTCTTTCTTGGCCTCATCTTCGAAATGCCTCGACACGCGAGATGTTTATTTCTTGCCCTTTGAGATGCCTCACTACGGATATGCTTATTTCCTACTTCACAGAAGAGATTCTTTGGCTCTACGAGATGTGTTTATTCCTTGTCCCTCACTATTGTTGAGCCTAGCAATAAGACTTTGTCCATCCGAGGCCAGTTTATAAGTCTCCATAGTTTGAGATGAGCCACCACAAAGATGCTTATTCTTCTCTTTGCCAGATAGATTTCTTAGCTTCACAAGATTTTTAATCCTCACCCCTCACTTTCGTCAAGCCCAGCTATATGATCTCATCCATTCGAGGCCAGCTTGTAAGTCTCCAATAGTTCAAGATGAGTCACCAGTGAGATGTTTATTCTCCGCTTTACTAGACAAGTTCTTTAGTTTTGTGAGATGCTTATTCCTCCCCCTTTACATAATTGAGCACAACCATAAGACCTCGTACATCCTTGACCAGCTTATAAGTCTTCGATAGTTCGAGAGATTCATTTGCAAGATGTTTGTTCATTGCCATATAGGATGTTTATTCACCAATCAGATTCATTGGCTTCGTGGGATACTTATTTCTCGCCCCTCACTATCATCGAGCACAACAATAAGACCTTGTCATTTTGAGGTTGGCTTATAAGTTTTTGATAGTTCGAGACAAGCTACTATCTCAATATTTTTTCCTCACTCTTTGCCTTATGTATATGAGATCCGTTGGTTGTTTCTACATTTGGACAAATCACTTGGTTTGAAGCAAGCTTGATAAAGCATTGGTGAATGATGTTTGGTTGCAAATGGGGTTTAATAGATTGGCTAATTTTCTACCATCAGGGTGTTTATCACTCGCTGTGCATTGGAAAAAAGAAAAAGAAAAAGGAAACCATTTGGAATTTTCAATATGTGGACTAGTCAATATAGCTTCCAAAAGGTTGTGCAAAGTTGTTGGCAATAAGAGAGTAGGGGTACGAAACAATTCAAGCTTTGCAAGGAGCCACATAGTATTAAAGGGGAGCTCAAGAAGCTTATGAGCAGCATTTTCACATGTGTCCATGAGAGCCAAAACGGCTACTATGGAGTTGAAAGAAGCACAATTGGCATTGCATGATAATCCTCTTAATATTGAACTTCAAAGTAGGATGACTCGCATGAGGAAAGTAGCCAAAAATTTGTGCGGAATGGAAAGGAGTTTCTACTATCAACAAGCAAAGTGTGAGTACCTAAAGTACAATGACAAATCCATTAAGGGTTCGTTTGATAGAAAATGTGGAATTTGGGTGGAAAGAAAACGAATTCTAAGGAATTGAATTGCCTATAACTTGTTTTACTAGAAATTGTCAATTAATTATGTTTGATTGATATAATTTTTCACCTGAAAAATGTTGAAATTTTTCATCTTTTGGTGTTTGTTTGGATTTGTTTTTGGTAATTGTATTTTTTTTTTCCAATTTGATAGCCAATTTTAAGAATTTTCCTATTCTCTTTCTTTTTCCTGTAATTTTGTCCATTTAATTGATTAATGGTCCCCTTAATGAATGTCTTTGCTTCTTTACAGCGAATCCCATTCCGAATAAGCAGCTTCAAACAAAAAAATACAGCCTCAATCTTGACGTAGAAAATATTGTCCATACTACCATTTCTAAGCGTATGAGATAAGGATAAAAGAGAAAAGGAGACTACTTCTCCCATTTGAGAATTAAAAAAAAAAAAAAAAATACACTTCTTATTATCACTCTCATCCTTTTCCGTTGAAGAATACAATTCCACTTCAATTACCCTTGGCTTATATTCTTCATCGTCATCAACCATTTTTCTTTAGCCCATTTTCCCAATCTTCTTTTGCTGTGCTTTCTGGACAGAACCCATAAAATAATTAGCCATTTTATGCAAACCAAAATCCTCCATTCTCTTCTTGTTCTCCTCAATCCTCTTCAATCTGTGCAACTAATACTATGATTTCTTGTGGTTTCATTTTCAGAAACTTAATCTGACAAGTCATTTTATTGTGATTCTATGTCTGATAATTCTGATTTGAGCATTATTCTAATTTCTCCATCAACCTGCGAATTTGGAGAAGGGGTTTTAGGAGAGATTTGGGATAATTTTTTGGATATTAGTCTAAAGTTTTTAAATCATGACAATAGAAACTTGTTAACTTGTCATTTTCTGGAAGATTAATTTTATATAAATTAATAAATGTATCATATTTAACACAATAGGACACTAAAATTCCAGCACAATCTAACACAATAATCTAACCGTCCAAGACAATAGGAGCCCAGATGGTGACAAAATGCAGAGTAGCTGCATAAACGCTAGGAGAAGAAAAGTAAACATGAATGTAGCATGAAAAGCTACATGAAGAACTGTTGTCAACTATACAAGAAGTGTGGCAGAATAAGATAGGCACTGTTCAGTGTTTAAATAATACATAGTTGAGATACTCCATCATAAACATGATGCGTTTGATGTCATTATTGAGTAATGCTGTTCATAGAATGTATGGTCATCCTTCAGTTAGAATATTGCTTGCTAATCGAACAACAATTTCAAAAAAATTAAAATCTCTCCTAGCCATTGCTGCAGTATGATAATGACAATAACTCGAAAAAGCTATAAATAGTCATTTCACCCTTCATCATTTGAGCCATTTCAAACAATAACACGTCAAATAAGGAGATAGCTAGGCTATTATGCTTCTTTAAAAACACTATGCCTTGGGTTTGGCCTTCTCAACCATATATTTAATCAATTTTTTTTTGTCAAAATCTCCTAAATTATGATTTTTAGCCAAACCAATTGAGGCTATATAAATGGTGCAACGCCAATCACTCCTCTTTTCTGCAGCTCCTTAAATGAATTGAAAACAAATCCATACTACAACATTCCTAAGAAAGAACCATGTATATATAGAAATTGACAATGAAGCTATACAAGATGGAAGTCATCCTTCCAACAGCAACAAGCAAATTACTGGAGACCATGCAAGTATCATAAACGCTTCACTTGAAATAATTACC